TCTAGTTGACAAGGTCAAAGGCTGGACTTTGTCTTGGAAGTGTGATTCTGTGAGTTGCTGCCCTGCCCTTGCTCAGTCTTTTCTCTGTAAAGCCAAGTCTTGTGGTCCTCTTCCCACAGATCGTAAAGTTTTCTAAAACTCTGGTCATCTTTTATGTTCTCCGATGGACTGCCTCCCTCTTTCCTGTGCCATGGGAAAGAAGCCTTGACGCTGACTTCAGCTGAGGCCCTTCCAGACCTGGGGAAAGTGAAAGGTTCACTTCACAGTCATGGAGATGAAACAATGTTTGTTTGCTTTCTGGCTGGGCTCAAGGTCTCCTGACTCGCTCCGATAGGGCAGGTTTAACACGTATGACTTTAGGCATCAATTACCCAAACAATGTAATTGTTTGTTTTTACGCTTCCATTGCCTTGAACACCAACCTTAATTTGTTTTTGACCCATTTTAACACCCAGAGACCTTTCTGCAGAGCTATTAAAGCACTGGCAACTCAGCGTTATACATTTGTATAGATGGTTATTCCTCCTTAAGTGCCTTTGCCTTAACTGAATTACCTACCATTTATTTTATGTAATTTCCTCAACCTGCCAGGATGGCTTTAATTTCTCGCAAGTGTTTGCAGCTTCTCCTGCTCTGGCAAAATTTATGCTGGCCTTGGAGATGTTACTGAAAGTATTAAGTTCCCTGCAGAACTGGGCTTCAAACCTTCTTCCACTAGCACGAGGCAGGCAGCTACAGCTAGTCTGAAGTATGCCTTCTCAACTATGTAGAAACCAGAGACCCCCAACCCACACCTCCTTTGGCTACCCATGAAAAATAAAGTCAGAGAGAGGGGCAAAGGCTTTCTGAAATTAATGACAAACACAAGAGCCTTGTCTCGAATGTTTCTCAGCTATCCACCAAGGCAGCCACTCCCGCCAGAGCGAAAATATGATTGATTTGCTGTGATTTCTGCTTAGAGTATTGGCTAATGTGAGTTTATGGCCTTTTAACGATACAACCACTTGCAAGTTAGATAGGTTGTTTTGGTTCCTGGTCTCAGTGCCTCTGAGACCGAATTGCATTGCAGGGGTCTCGTCCGTCCCTTCTTTGTAAGTGTAAGGATACTTTTAGTCCTTTTTTTCCCCATCCTGAGACTTGTGAAACAGCCGCGAGAGACATCCAACCAGTTCCCTGCCGCAGAGAGGATGTCATTGCAAAAGAAAAAAAAAAAAAAAAGAAAGAAACGGTTTAGTCTATTTAAACATCCTGAAGTTCGGGGATTTTTGGGGCGTGGGTTTTATCCTCCCCACTCCTTGCGGGTTTTTATCCCGCTGTGCCCGCTCTTCCCGCGGATCCCTGCGGGAGGCGCTCCTGCTCCACGGCGCAGGCGGGCCCGCAGCGCTCACCTGCGGGAATCCCCCGCACCCCGCCAAGGCTCGGGGGGCTCCTGGCAGGGTGAGGGGTGCGGCTGGGGGATGTGGGGTCAGGCTGGGGGCCGAGGGTGTTGTTCTGATCCCAGGTGAACTCTGGGGGTACCCGCCGTCGAGGAGGTGCCCCCGAGGTGTGCGTGTGTGCGCCCCGGCGGGCTGGCAGGGCTGCCGTGTTTATTTTTCCAAGGAAGGCCGCCCAACAGGCTGAAGTGCTTATTTTTAAACCAGCCCGGAGGGAGTTTGCCAGCAGTCGGGCACAGGCTGAGCCTGGCAGGGACCGACAGCGGCACGGCTGCCAAGCACCGCGCTCTGCCTCGGCTGCGGAGCCCCTCCCGGCACCGCGGGCAGACTTTAGCCCATCGTCCCTGTGCTAAATGCCCGGTTGTGTAATTTTCCCTTCAAGAGTTGAGGCTTTTCTCTGTGATTCTACTAGGAGCTCCCCATTTTGCGTGCTATATACATGGATGGACCTCGTGATTTCTTCTGCGGCCACATCTGGCAACAGACATATCCCCAGATACCCCTAGGGATCGCCTGTCTGCCCTTCTCACACCAGCCCACAGGAGACTCCCTCTTCTTTCCCTGTCTACACCGTGCTTAGATGTTTATCCCACCCCCTTTCATAGCTGACTATGAAGACAAGCAAAACAGGCAGTTGCCCACAGCCTTCTCCCGTGGGTCCCTGTGTAAACTTTGCAGCTCTGTTTTCTCTGGACTCACAGCCCTGTCATCACCCCCCTCTTCCTGACCTTCTAACATCCCCCTCGAAAGTAGATGCACCTTCCATCTTTTTTCTTACCGCAGAGGCTCTAATGGCCTGAACCGACCCTCCCCCCACGGTTTATCTCTTCTCTTTCCCTGCTGCAGCCTGCTCATGAAATGATGGACAAGCTAAAGGTTGAGAAAATACAGTAAAATGCTTTTCTTATCCTGTAATGACCAAGGGGGGAGGACACAGCCTGATAAAAATGACAAGCCAGAAGAATTGAGAGCCAGACCCTTCACCTGCCTGTCCCTCAGTGCACAGAAAACACTTGATAGTCCTGCTGTGATTGCAACTGCTGCAAGCCCAGGAAGAAAGGAATTAAGTACTGAGCCAATTAGAACTGTAAGTTTCTGTCCAAAGAAATGTCTTTCTGCTACTTGTGAAGAGGCTAATTCAAAGATTAATATAGGAAGAAAACCTTGAAGCAGGCTGAGCACTGGAAGCTGGTGGAAAATGCATCTGTAACCCTGTGTTTTATGGCCAGAGGGCTTTGCTTAGCATGTGGAATCTGTGTAGTCCCACTGCAGTGATGGAGGCTCACATGACATACAGACCCAGCTGCTCACTTGGGCCTATCTCCATTTTCAACCACTCACCTTATTCCTCTGTTTTTATTGGCATGATTTTTGACAGCAACCACTAGTGCTGGATCAGCCATTTCCTGGCAGTGATTGACCAGGAGGCAAACATTTCATTCTCTAAATTGCCCCAAAGGCAGTCTAAGATGCTCTGCAGCAAACACTGCTAGACCTGTGTGCTGCAAACAAAGCTCCATCCACCTCCCATTTAAACAAATTGAACCTGAAGAGGCCACAGGGAGAGACAAATGGGGGAGATAACAGGCATAAGGCTTGATGTATTCTTATGGCTGCTTGAAGTAACCCTCACAGAAACCCCCATGGATTTTCTACTCTCATTCCTTGCTCCTGAATCTGGATGGAGACCGAGGGGGAGGTGCTCTTTTTGCCTCTTTATGTCTGCCCTACTCAGCTTCCCATCACCCTTGTGTCTGTCTCCACCTCTTTCATCCCAGATATTGAAGTTCTCTGGCTACTCCTTTCTTCCCATGCCCACCACCAGCATTTGGGGCAAAGAGCCTCAGGTTGTTGTACCATGTAGTTACCTGGTGCTCCACAAGGCACTTGCCAGATTCAGAAAGAATAGGATGATCACATAGCATTTACTCTTTTCCTTGTTTTCCTCCATTAAAACCCTGCTAAAAGGAGGGTGAATGACCTTGAGTAGTTCCTCTACTTTCCCATGCTGTAACCACCACATAGATGGTACAAAACTGTCGTGGGAGGAGAGGTAGCACAAGGAAATCGTGTCTGTCAGGCGGTCTCTGTATGAAGACACAGCCCTCAGCTGGATGCATCTGTGAAGACATTTCAGACTCCCTGATAACTCTATGCCAGGCTGAGTGATGTGAAAAATCCCCCTCCACTGCACGTTCCAGATTAAAACTTCACATCAAATCCAGGTATCCTCTGTTCTTTTTGGTGGGGGAAGAAAAAAAAAAAGGAAGGAAAGATAACCCCCACATTTTAAATGGGTTTAAAAATTTAATTATAGACTATGTTCTGAAAGCAACAGGCAAGAAAGCATTATATGTGATGTGTTTGCCAACAAATGTGAGCAGGGAGCCAAGGTATGGGGATAGACTGGCAGCAAAACCCTTGAAAGAGGGCCCTGCAGCCAAATTTACCCAAAGCTTTGAGGCCGAATAGATGGATCTTTTATAACTGCTGTGGTCCAGCCTAAATCCCTCCTTTTTTGCGTGCCTGGAGTTAGAGAGGTGAGGATGCAATCTGGGTTTCTCAGTTTGCACCGTTCTCAGAACTAAGGCCACTCCAAGGAAGTGTTGATCCCCAGCAGCAAAGCAGGCTGGCCCTCCTTCTCTCACACTTGCTTAGGCCCCATATATGGTTGAAGCCCATCTGCTGCCAGAGGACTCTTGGGAAGCCCCAGTCACCACACATGGCAATGCCCTGTTGAAGGAAGGATCCAAGGAAGGCCACACCACTGGAGTGAGGCCCCTCTGTATGGTTCAGGTTCACATTTAAACATACATATATGACCAGGACAGAAAAGTTTCTTCTCTCTGCCCAAAGCTAAGATGGATCCCTTCAGCAGAAGTGCAGTCACTAGGCTAGTCACAAATGCAGACATAGTCCTGTAGAGTTGTTGCACCTTTCTGAGGGCTTCATCTGAAAGTCATCTCAGACCTGTACAATCCTGTGATTTCTGTAGAAACCTGTTTCTGCTGTAATCCTGAACAGCATCACTCACTGGTGGCTCCAGATAATTGGCTGCAAAGTAGGTAAATGGCCAAGTGCACAACAGGCTTTTCTTAGGAAGGCAACAACAGGTAAACTGATTCCAGCAGGCATTTGGCAAATTAGGATCCATCCCTGCAACTATTGCAGGTAATGAGGAGGGAGGAGAACCAAAGAGTAGTTCGAGCCCTCAAGGCATCACATGCAAGAAGAGCTGAAAGCTTTCTACTGTAATAGTAAAGGAGGGGACTTAGGTCAACCTGTGTTGAGGAACTCACCTCCTCACACAATGGCTCTGTAATGATTAGCTTCACCTTGGCAGCAAAGAGGCTTATTTAAGGGAGAATCAGCTCGTGGCAAATAAGGATCTTTGTCCATCCACATATAGCAATGCTGAAAGATCAGGTTGCTCAGAGGCTTTGGGTCATTGGTTAGCAGCAGTTCTCCTCAGCAGCATTACAAATAAGGCATTTCCCAAGTCAGCATTTATAGCCTGGCCATGACCAAAGCCTACCTTGGGGACTTTAGACTGAGCTCTGTATGCAACACCCATGGAGGAGGAGGGAAAGTGGCTCTACTCTGGCTCCTCCTCCGGTGTAAAGCTTCTTCCAGGACCAAAGCTGCATCAAGGCCCAGGAAAGGTCAGCCTGCCAAAAAGCATCTGCTGGTGCTCTGAGGGAGGTTGTGGAGGAATGTGGGCAGAGAAAGCTGGACTAGAGGTAGCTGTGGCTGAAAAGGGCTGGGGATGTGAGGCACTTAATCCCCCCCGCCAGCAGCCTCCCCGTTATCAAGGGGTGTGACTGGGTTCTCTCTTTTTGCTTTCTTTGGTTTGTGTTGCTGGCTTCTGCAATGCACACACCTGTGGTTTGTTGTGGTTTTATTTTTTTCTGTGGTGGGGGGTTTGTAGTGTGTTTGTTGTTTTGGTTTTTTTTCCTCTGAGATAACTAGAGATGAAGTTGCAGCCTGTGAAATGTGGGCAATTTAACACGGGATGCAGGGGCTGTTCAGCTTGATCCATTTCTATAGTAAGTGTATTTGCCTCCTGCTAAGGTGTTTCAACCAAGGTCAGTGGAAATAAGCACTATGGCCAGGCAGCTTGAGACAATTAGCAGAAAGCCTAAAGGAGCCAATTTGCCCAAGCTGGTCAGATCAGGAAACAACAGTCCTTGCAAGTCTGTGGCTCAGAGGAGGGACTTGTCTTTCAGCAGGAATTTTTGTCAATTCTCCCTTGGCTGATGCAAACCAGCATAACTGTACTGAAGTCAAAGAGAAATGCTGTTTGATCCTGGCTGCATGTTTGGGGTATCTGTGCTGAATGACTTTGCTGCATTTATTTAGCATCCTGATTAGGATTTCTTTTTTTTAAACCTCTCTGCAACTAGTTCTCCTCCTGTTATTTTTGGTAATGCTAAGAAAGGGAATTCCCTTGTCCAAAGACTATTTATTGTGTAGTTGTTTTTTGCCAAAGAGCTGGAAGTCACAGAGGTCCAAATGAGCACTGTGGATATACACAGTGTGAGAGCAGTTCTCCACCAAGGTGAAAATCTGCCTGACAGGCTGGATAAGGATACATTTGCACTCTGAGTTAGGCAACAAAGACTAGTAGTGGAACCCCCTAAAATCACAAGGTGTTTCCTATAAATGCAGAGGCCTGTGTTAACATGGCCTTGTCTGGGGGGACAGTTTTAATTAAGCTGGATCTGGGAAGCGAGGATGTTTTTTCCTCAGATGAAACGTGTTTTGGCTTCCTTTTGACCAGAGGACAGGAAAAGATTTTGCAGTAAAAAAAGCTATTGGCAGCTCAGACACCTCTTTTTGGCATTATGATCACTGTGCAACCAGGCTTAAATGTTCTGGGAGCAAGTTCCATCAGCTTGTTTCCAGCCATGGTAGAGCCTGAAATAGCAAACATCAGACCTATGACTGGTTCTTCGACCTAGCAGTGCTATTTTGGCAGCAGGCCCAGGGTTAAACGTAACGAGAGTCATTTTCAGTCCTTGCTCTCCTGAAGGTCAGTGGCCCAAATGGTTGGATGTTTGTCTGAGCTGTTTCCGGACAAGGTCTGCATTTTGTAATGATAAGGCGAAATTCAGAGATCCTCATGTTGCCAAGCTCCTGCTAACCCTAATTGGAAAGCATATTTTTCCTGAATAAGGATGTCAGGATTTGGTCATTGGCAATTTTTAACTGTTTTGACTATTTTGAGTGGGGCGGTCTTTTGTGGTTGCTACAAAGGCTCACTCCTCCCTTTTACCTCCAGTCCATGACTTTCACAGAACAGTTCACCTCATTCTCAGTTTTAAGCCCATTAAGCCTGGCTTACCAGAGTTGCCCACTGCCAGGTAAGACTTCGAGGTTCATTCATCTGCTCAGGTCACATGGAAGAAGCAGTCTCCCTCCTAGCAATCACTCTGGCTTGCCAAATGCCTTCTGAGACAAGTCTTGTACTCTTTAAGGCTCCCTTAAAAAGCTATCAGAGAGGTCAGCCACAAATTGGTCCCATTTTTTCTGCCAGACCTCTTTGGCCTTGGCTTTCTCATCCGGTAGCATGGCACTGTATCTGTGAGGAGGAGAAAAGTCAGTGTCGGACAGGAGACAAGGGGGCAGCTATTTCAAGATCAACACCAAAATGAAAAAGCAGGAAACAGCAACATGTTAACCCTTGCAGGACATGCCTGCACCGCTCAGAGTGACACAGTGTAAAGAGCCTGGAGCTCCTGCCAGCTGATCTCAGGCTGGGACAAGACACATCACAGCCACATCAGCAGCTACTGAGTCCTGCACCATGAGGACAAACAGCTCAGTCTGCATCAGCTGGAGACTCGTTGGGCAGCAACCACTGACTAGTACAGAAGAGACAGCACTGCTGCTGCTTTCAGATGTGCCCTGGGCTTGGTCCAAATTGGTAGGAAATCAGAGTATTTGTTGTCTCCCTGGCCATGCAGGGACTTGGGATTGCCTAGAGGATTGGCACAGGATTTGGCAAACAGGCAACAACTGAGGAATGTGCACAGAGACCCTGGGCATCATATCCAAACTATTCTGGGACATTCAGAGCTGCCCAGATAAATAAAAAAAGTCGTTAAACGCACTCAAACTAAATGCTGGTAGGTTGTTTTCCTGTGTTTCCCAGGTGAGCCACAGCAAACACTGCAGCAAGTCAAATTTTGGCAGAAATAGACAAGTGATACAAAGACATAAGATTTCTCCCATACCCAGAACCAGGTGCTGAAGGCAAGTTCACAAAAGATGGAAAAGGAAGAATAAACTGAGACACAGATTTACAGAAAGGAAGAGCACAGGTAGAGGAGCCTCTGGGGTCACTGTGTCATTCCTTTGGAGAAGACACATAGCAGAGATTTTGGATTAATGGAAGCCCAGTTCATGTGGCAGAGGAGACTCTGGGGCCAAAACCCAAATACGGCGGGTTTCTGGGGAGCAAGCTGATAGTCTCCTTATGATTACTATGGCTAGATGAGAGAGGTGAGGAACTTACTTTATGGAGTTGAGCGCAAGTTGTTTTAAGGTCCTCAGGTCGGCATTCATCCCTCCGATGGCCATGAACACCTCGTAGAAGTCATAGGAGACTCCCTTTGCTCCAAAGATAGGGGGATCATCGGGGCTGATCACAATGGGATGCCCCTCAGCCATGAGGTCAGCTGCAGGGTGACTCCGCAGGTCAGCTACCAGCAGCAGGACCTCGGTGGGAAGGGTGGAGACAACACCGCGTCAGGTTATTGCTGTAGCCGTGTTGGGATACCTGCCACAGCTGCCTGTGCCAGCAGGGAGTCACCCGGGAGGGACAGCCTCCAGAGGGCTGTTCAGAGTGCATTCTGCTCTGAACTGCTGTGGGAGGGACCAACTTGTCTCCTCAAGGAGATGAGTTTCTTAAATGAATTGCCTAAGTCAAGGCCAGTGGGGTGAATAACTTCTGATTATGTATAACGATTTGACTGCGAGCATTTCAGGAACAGTCTTTTGGTTACATGCTTGCCATGATGCTTAGCTCAGGGCGTCTGGAGCTGGTATCAGTGTTCTCTCCCTTAAGGCTCACACCAGTACATCTCTACCCCAGAGTATCCTTTCTGTTGCACCCAGGGGACAATGGGCACCACGTTAATGTGCTGCAGAAGAGTTCCCGCTGCTTATGAATTCTACAAAACCAAGAGACTTCCAGTTACAATCCCTGCTTCTCAGCCTCTGGCCCTCCTGGCTTTGAAGTATTTTCCATTATGTCTCTTTAGATACCTCCCTGGCTCTGGGCCTCATCTCCACTAGGGAGGACTGCCTACCCAAGTTCCTCTGGGTAGGAATATAAATGATTTTTTTTGCTGACTGGTATTACAAGCCTTATATATATTCACAGTGTGTGTCTATGTAGCAAACTGCAGTGTAATGTGGCGCAAGGGAAACAGCCAGCCTGTGTGCATCAAAACTTGTAGCTGCCCCCCAGCTCCCTGCTGCTCCCCACTGCTGTGATGAACCCCATTCCAGTGTCCCAGCCCCAAGAACTAGGCTTTTAACAACATACCTGGTTGGAGATGGGACAGACTTCTACAGGAATATCCCTCTTCAGAGACAAATTTTTGGCTACTGGGTGTTTAATGAGAGCGAGTCCGTGGCCAATCCTGCTGGTGTTCAGGAGCAGTGCATCCAGCACGTTATTGTCTACAGAGGTGCCCTGCCAATCTGAGCAGAGACAGGTAAGAGTCACTGCAGTGCTGTGAGGAAGTATGTCTTCTCAAACTGCTGGATGATTTTGTTAATAGATGCCCCAGTTGCGAGGTAAGAGGGTTTCCACTTGCATTTTCAGCACAACAGGGATTTAATTCTGCCCAGGATATTGCTCAGCACAGAGATATCCATTCATTTCACCTGGCTTTAGATGTCCACAGTGCTGCTCTTACAGCTAAGCTAATCATGCTGGTCTCCATTCATTGTCAATGGAGAGAAGCAATAATTTGTGAGGAGTGCAACAGGGTGAGATGTACTGTGCCTTAGAAGAGCTTGTTACTGCCCGTGGCTACAAAAGGAGCCCAGAGAAACTAGTTCAGAAGTAGACCCCTTCTCTGTAGATGTCAACAAGCAATACACATAATGCACAAGTTAGACACAACTGTCATGCATGGTTAGAATAAATCCCACCCATACTGACTGAATAATACACATTGCCCCACTAATGAAATGAAGGGTACATTGGTTACTTTGATGAGCGTATCCAGTTAAGACTCAAGGCTGGCTCAGATATTCCTTCACCTTAAAATGTAAAATAATGGCTCAGGAATTCTCCTGCCACTACGAATGGGAGGTGAGTGCTGCTCCAAGAAGGAAATGGCTACCAGCAATAACTCTCACAGCATGACTCCATGTCAAAGACACTGAGCAACGTGACACTTGCAGTCAAAAGCAGGGAGTAGGTAAGGGAGTGGTCCTGTAGGAATGCTACAGCAACAGGCTGACATGGGGAGAAGCATAAGGAAAACTGATTATGTACACATGTATACACACACATCATCTTGATACATCCAGGCTTGCTTCTTCTGTGCTTTGCAAGATTTCAGTCTTGCCTCTGTAAGCAATAACAGGCCTTGAGCCCTCATGCTTACCAGTCTCGCCAGCATGGAAAAAGTACGGCAAGCTGACCCCCATGGAATACGGGATGGTCAGGGCATCCTTCAGGTCCCATAAAGAATGACCTTCATCCTCATCACCAACCTAGAGGAAAAAAGAAAGGTATTTTTGAACACACTTGGGAAGATAGTGGGAATAACAGCTATATATCACTGAGGCGCCAGCTGTACAGAAATTGCAATGCTGTGGGGTGGGGAGCTGATTCTTTCAGGGGATTTTGCCAATTACCCTGAACAAAATCCTTAGCTGGAGGATTTGAAATCCATTAACACTGATTTCAGTACAGCAGCAGAGGTTCTGCCTCTTGTATACAACATATGCCATATCATACATGTAGTTATATCACTAGGGGTTAATGTGAAGCCACAGAAGAAACACGGTTACCAGGTCGAAGCCTGCCAGGGCGTCTGGGAATTGGGCTCTGAGTGCCATGGCAGTGACGATGGCTTCTTTAATCTGGGAAACATTCAGCATCCTAAAGAGCAAGAGAGAGAAAGCAGTGCAGAGGCTCACTCCCGTGGGCCCGCCTTCTTTGGGTTTGACTTGTGAAATGGGGCCCCCAGGGGTATTTCCAAAATGCAAGTTGCTCCCAAATCTGACAACCAGCTTCAGGTCTCCAGAGTAACAGCAGCAGAAAATTGATATTATGAAAGGAAGCCCCTGAATGACCAGGAAATGCCTGGCTAGACCCTGCTGTCACTTGAGTTGAGGCATGCCTGTCTGACTCACTGGCTTTCACATCCACACAACAGCGTGGAGAGAAAATGTTTAATTTTTTTTCCCCTCTCGACTGTTTTGTTGGGAGGTGAGACACTGACTGCATTTCAAGAGAGTTTTAAATCTGGGGTTGTTCCAGCCCTATCAGACTTTAACATCTCGTCTCGTTTTGCAGACACACTCTGTCCATATCCAAGCTGTCCAAAGACAAGCCAGCTCTGAGCTGGAAACGGCACCGTGCTGAACCAGAGCGAGTAAATGCTGCTGAGAGGTCTGCTCTGTTTGCTCAGGATCACCTCACATGACTTCGTGGCATCTGGCTGACTTGGAGAACAGCCTCGTGCCCGCCTGCGAGCAGCAGCACGAACATACCGTACAAAGGCTGCCGGGAGAGCAGCGTCTGCAGGGTCCCACGGGGGCCTTCGCAGCACCAAGTGCCCATACTCGGGCACTGCTGTCACTGCTTCGGTTCCTGCAGAGACCGGGAGTGTGTCCAGGCTCGGGAAGGGAGCACGCACGGCTTGGACACGCACACAAGCAGCCCTTCCCTTGCTCGTTCCCGCACCCAGGGCTCACGGACTCCCGTCCTCTGGCGCACACCGTGAGCTAACCCTGCTCACTTCGCACGTACACAGACTTATATAGATGATTTCTCACCCTCAGCCTTTTGCACATGCCAGGGAATGCCTCGGGAGTCAACACCCCGGGTCTGACAACACACATGGACATTGCTAACCAACTGTGGCACTTCAGCACTGCTTCTCCTGGCCTGGCCCCCTCCCTCCCAGCACAGCCGGCCACGCAGGGCCGCTCTTAGCCCTGCACAGCCTCTGTCTACCTGTGTGCTGTAAATATAATCTTGGCTCCAACAAAGTCAGGGTGCTCCTTCACAAACTGCCTGGTCACTTCCCGATAGGTTGCCACAGACCATGATTTATTGTGCCGGGTGCCATCCAGTTCATACACCTGCAGGATGAAAAGCACATCACAAACAGTAGTTAGAAGAGATGTTTTACTGGAAGGTGGGAGAAATGAACTGAAGAAAACCTTGGAAGAAACAATGTGTTATGGTCCTAGGAACAGGGCAGGAAAAAAAAAACCAGCTAAATCTGTGCAGAATATTTTCTTCTTGAAGCCTTTACCAGCTGGCAAGAACCAAAGAACGGTTTTCCTCCCTCCTATGTGATACAAGAAACAAGTTTCTCCATGTTCAGACACGGTAAGCAAGTGCCCTTGAGTACCCAGAGGAGACCATGACCTCTTACTCACGTCCGTATCAAATGCTGGAGTGTTTTGTCCAGCCGTCTGGCGGCTCCCACACTCTGTGCCTTGCGGTGGCAGTCTGTCAGCCAAGGCAGCCCCAAGGCACGCGAGGGCCGAGTTCCATAAGCTACCAGCTGGGCTGGGCTTCTGCTCCCCTTTGCCAGAGGTTTGCTCCATGACCTTGAGAGGGTCATTTAGTCTTCCCATGCCTTCTCAGTTCTCTGGCAGCAAACTGGGAAGAATAATTCTTTTGGCATACTCTGTTTCATCAGCTTACTCTGGGGATTCCTCACTACCAAGACTGTACCCAGGGCTTTTGCCCTGATTTCATCGGGGGTGTAGGCACTGAATGCCCCCAGTGATACTAATGCACAAAAGCCCTGCCTGGAGTTGCTCGCTCAATGGTGGCTGAATCCCTCAGTTTTCTTCTCACCATTCTTTTCTCTTTCACCCTTTTCCTCCACCCCTCAGCTGCTCCTCTCCACCGTTTTACTTCTGCCTGATGCTGCCCCTTGCAGTGATGAGCCTCACTAAGCCCCCGCGCTGTGCTGACCCCCTTGTAGGCACCAGCAGCCGTGGGGCAGCTGCAGATGCTCAGAGGGAACTCTTCCCCAGCTGCAGCCCATGGGAATGTGAGACTTTACACAGCTGAATCTGCAAACACAGCTGGGCTTGGGGGGCTTTTCCACAATGTTTGCCGTTTCACACTTAATCCCAGCGTTCATTTACTTTTCTTCAGGGGCCGCTTCTGGCAGGCTTTGCTGCAAGGAGAGGTTTTGCAGTGTCAGTGCTGTTGTCCAAGCCCTGTAGAGGATCTCCAGCCACACGAGCATCTTGTTATTCCTGTCACACCCTGCTCACCTTGACTAAAACAGCAAAGTGTTTCCCTTCCCTCTCATCCCAGCTTCAGCCCGGCTGTCCCTTCCCTGCCCACGCTGCACTCCAGTCCAGGGCAGTTGCAGCTCCTGGCATCCCTCACTGTGGTACCTGGGCTGCAGGCAGCCTGCCTGTACCTCACAGCACACCGAGCTGCTGGGTGTGAGCAAGCCCCGGGGCTCTGGAGGCTCCCACATCGGCAGCCAGCATTAGGAGCTGGATGGGAAGCAAATCTTCCCTGCCAAGCCTCCCTTCAAAAGACTTTACAACCGTGTCTAAGGGCTGATGGTAAAGGCAGGGTATTTTCCAGTCAGGCCCACGCAGATTCTCTTGGCCCAGAAACATGTGTGACCTGGGGGGATGCCAGTGCTTGCGCTGTCTCACAGCACAGGCATTTTGACATTGCTGTTATTTTCTCTTTTGAGGTACCCCGAAGACAGATGGTGACTGAGTTCAGAGCAACTGCCTTATGACAACCCTCAGCAAAGTAAGATACACGTAAGCTTTGTGGTCTTCTCCCCCTCCTTTTTTTTTTTTTAACCTTGTCAAAACCCTCTTCTCATCTCAGACACGACTGAGTGGCAGCCTGAAGCCCTGTCTTGCTGTGGGGCCAGCCCAAGCCTCAACAGGGCAGGGTCAGCAGCCCTGCTCCCCAGCTGTTGGGACAAAGCCAGATCAGCCTCCAAATTTGTCACAGCACCTGCCTGTGTGCTGGTGGGGGTGGCTGTGGAGGCCTGCCTGACAGCAGAGGTGGTTGCTGGGGCACAGACATTCATCTGCAGCTGGCTGGAACCCCCCAGCCATTGCATGCAAGGGCAGGGATTTATGGAAGATGCTGGCAGGCACATTAAGGAGTTAAGTCACCAGCAGGACATCAGCATGGCTACTGAATCCACTGGATGCCGCGGCACCAGCAGCAAACTGATACCTGCATTCCCATGCACAACCCACCACCACCTCCTGGTCCTTCAGATGCTTCTGGATGAACCTTGTACAGCAGCTTCATTCCTGTTGTAATGGACAGTTAAGAAATGGAGGTAGGTGGTGTAGTGAGGAGCAGCAGCCCTGATTTGTTTGCTTTGGTAAGGCATTTTCCCCTCTGACAGAACTCCCAACTCCACGCTACCCCTCTTGGAGCTGGGCTGGAGGATTGCATGGGAAATGTGTGCCTGCAGTGTCGAAATTTTCACTGGGAAAGTGGGAACTGTTACACAGCCAAAGAACAGTGGTGTGGTCTGCTGCTGCTTGGGAAGGCATTAGGGCAGAGTGGCTTTGTAGGATATTCTGACCAGCTCTGGGTGACACACAAGGAGAACAGCCTAAACCATTTCCAGCAGATTTTAGTGTTAGGGGCAATGAAAGGAGCAGTTCATGCTTCAAATACATAGCCAAAATTTTAGGTTGTCTGCAAACTGTGCAAGACAGTGCTTTGCCAATTTATTGAGCCTATTCAGAGAAATCATTCTGAAATAAGCTGAGGATTTAAAATAACATAACTATCCCAGAATGAGTCTGTATGCAAGACAGGAAATTTTTTGAGAATAGCTGCCATAGAACAGGTGATTCTGGTGCAGACAAAGCTGAGATACATCTTCCCAATAAGCAAGATTTTGACACAGCTCCCAGTCAGACTGTACAATGCAGTTTTGTGCTGATACCACAGTAGGTATCTCCCTTAGCCATTAAGAACAAAGCATGTCTCACTTTCAAGCCCTTGCCTATGCAAATCTCCAACAAAGACCTTTGAATATGATCCAGGTTTTCCAGCATCCTTAGAAGGGCAGGTATGCAAACATCCAAAAACTAAATTCAAGATAGGGCTTGAGAAAAGTTATGGAGAAATGAGGATTTAAAAGAATACTAGAGAGGCCAAAAAATACGTACTGCAGGCAGGATAGCTCTTATCTCGACATATTGCACGTTATCTTCATAGAGCTCCAGCAGCCCCTGGTAGAAATAGGCCTTGAACACAGGTGCATAGCAGATAAGTCCAGAGGCAATGAGAAAGACTTCTTCAAATCTTTTCCAAATGAAAGCCTGAGAAGGGTAGGCCTGCTCAGGGGCATCTGTCACCAGGGTCAGGTTTCTCAGCAAGCTGTAGAGAAGGGAAAAGAGAAAGAATGAGGAGAACAAACAGGACAACTGGCTTTCAGCATGCAAAAAGCCACCAGCTGGCAGCTGAGTGTTGGGTACAGGAGGAAATAGATTCCTCCAGGATAGGTGTGACTTTCATTGTCAGAGACCAAGCTTTGTGCACATGACACTCTCCCTCTCTCATGCTCTGGGGAGCAGCAGAGCAGCGGCTGTGCTGAAGGAGGCACATATTCCCTGGGCAGGACCAAGAAAAGGTGCAAAGCCCTTCCTGCCACAACAGGGGCCCAAAATCTAACTCAGAGCCTGTTGGCACTGCAGTACAACAGTTGTAACAGCAACTGGTGCAACTAGAAAGCATTCAGGTCATTTTTCTGCCACCTGTATTTACTGTTCTAATGGCTGGTACAGAAGTCATACAAGACGTGTTGAGCTGTAAGCAGGGTAAGACAAGGTGTTCAAAACCTGCCCCTCCCTTTTTCAAGGACAAAATCGGAGTAATGGGGTTACAAAAGCAAGTATGGTGCTTTTATATCACAAGAATTGCACTCTGCTGCCCAGGGGTATCCTTACTCCCAAAGTAGGCATGTACATTACTCCTGCAGACAATACATTCCCCCAAGCACTTTCAGTGCATGTAAAATGTTATGACACTTGGCCCTCTGTTCACCACCTAAAGGCAGACTGAGTCTCCAGGAGATGCCATGTACTGGGCCACCACCAACCTGCTTATTGAGCTCATAAGTTGTCCTGGTACCTTCATATTGTCAAAATATGCCATCTAAAAAAAGCAGGGGGAAAACAACTGTGAATCACAAATCATTTTCCCCCACCAGTGGACCAACCCTGACACCCTGCCTGCCTGCCTTGCTGATACCTTCTTCAGGGAAACAGCTGACAAGAAGGTCCTGGCTTTTCCTTAGTGGGATGGAAACTCCCACTATTTCCTCCATAAACTCAGCTGGCATATAAACTTCCTTCAGAAATCCAGAGAGACGGTGGGCAGTGTTATCAAGCAGAGTTTAAGGGAGCCAGTAATTGCAAGATTATCTAATTGTGAGTGACAGCTTGCATTTAGGACAGAGTGAGCATCTGTGCCACAACACCATCCTCTGACAAGCTGATAGCCTTCATCCCACCTGAAGCCTCTGGCAACAGCTGGTGGTCACCTGAAGAGGAGTTCATAATAAATTTCTCAGGGCAAAGTCTAAATGGCAGTATAGAGGTGATTAACTTCATTCCTGGGTGGAAAAATGGAAGGCATTGCAGGAAACTGTAGAGCTGTTTGCTTGCAGGTGGGTGGGCTCACCAGCTAGGCCAGGCCTGGAGCTTATCTCGTGTCAGGGGCTAAGCAGGTTCAGATAGAAATACCTTCAGCCATGCTTCAGCTTTCATCCCAGTATATTGTTTCCCCTCAATAACAGCTACTGATCTTTAATAATGTTCTGTGTTTGATGTCTTGGCCTCCGTCCTCATGCAGTGTTCTGCTCTGTTATATGGGAGGTGTGGGTTTGATTTGTGGTCTTATTATCTTCGTCCAGGACGCTTCTGTATTAGCACCACCCCCCGCTACAGATGTAAAATGTGATCTGGTCCAAACTCATAAACTAAGACATCCTGGACAGAGATATGCCTTTGGAGTCCCTCCATCATGCCCATAAAACAGAGCCCATTCCCCCAGGATTTGCCTGCTGTTTCACTCTCTAAGGGTGCTCTTCCAGGGGCTGCAGTTTCCTTTCTTCCTCACTCTGTTAATTTCTTTGCCAGGAACAATTTTAGAAGCAAAACTGTTCATAAAGAGACGCTCATACTCTGTTAAGGATGAGATTTTAAATGCTCAACAGTCAGGAAAATTCAGAGTTAAGGTTTCCACAGCAACTTCGGCTCTGCCTTCCCATGCATTACAATAGGGGCTTTGGTGCCATTATCACAGGACACTGGGCAACCCCAGCTACTGTTCAGTAATCCATGCAACCAGAGGAGACTGAGCTGGACCATGGAAGGGGTGGGCAGTGGGGAGCATGCAGCAGTGGGAGACACCGCAGCATCACCCTAGAAACCAGGAATGCAGGAGCCAGGAGCATCTTGGAGGTGCTGATCCAGCTGCCCGAGCTGCAGTGGAGGCCAGCCACCGGCAGAAAGGGTGTGCTGCCGCTCGTCAGGGAGGGGGGAGGAGGTTTCGTTGGGGAAGAGCTGGGGAAAAGAGACTTTTCCACTTCCCTCCTGGCTGAAGGGCAGCTCCCCTCCAGCTCCGCATGCCAGCGGAGAGCACCTGCCCGGAGCCAAGAGCCGAGTGGGGCTGTTCCCACCAGCCCTGCAAGCACTGAGGGAAAAACCTCCCCGTGGATCAAAAGGCCGTGCAAGCCCGTTCTCGCCACTCCGTGCAGCTTCGTTTCAGATAAGGATGGGTGGTTAGTCGGGCTCCCACCACTTTCTCCCCTTGTCCTGTGAGAACTCGGCTCCTCCAGCAATGAGCGGGCGCAGGGCTCCGCTCCCTGCCTTTAAATCTAGCTGTACAAACTTGTGCTTGTTTACTTAGCCTGTGCTCTTGGGCTAGAAACAGCAATAAATCCCCACACCACCCTGCTCCTAAAGGCACATAAATCAAACTGTACTTTTCTTTATAATCCCCTTCCCTTTGAGACTGATTATTGATCCCTACAACTGTTGAAGATTTATTGCATAATAGTTATCCATCCCTGATAACCAGATAATCTCCTAAGGGTTCAGGGGCTTTTGCCATCAGTAGCTCATGCAGATGAAGTAAAACTTCATAAATGCATCTTTTCCTTCTTTTCTGGAATGGGCCTTTGCCAGTGATCAGGTGCAGACTACAAATAGCCTTCCATGTCATGTCATATATGCACCAAACAATGCTATTGCAATGGATATGCCCAAAGGGGTACAGCTAAAATGACCAGCTATGGATTATTTATTTTCAACTGTGGGTTTGCTTTCTCTTTTCCTGTTTTTCCCCCCAGTTTTCCTTTCCTGTGCTATAGAATGCAAGGAGCGAATGGTGTTGTTGCCTTGTTTTTAAAGGGACTCCTTTTCCTGCTTCTTTTTCTATTCTCGATGGGTAATTATGCCCCTCTCCTCACTGTAGTATCTAAATGTCTTCCAGTGGTGCATTAAATAGTGTGACTAACATCTGTCACATGTGGTTCGTTCGCTTTCTCTTGCTCTCTCATCCCCTCTTCTTCTCCCCAAGGGGAGACTTGTAGAGGGAGAGGAGTGCTTTGTTTCCGTAGCAGATTTTTATTCTCTCTTCCCCCCCCCCCTCATAATGCGCACACTGCCCTATTTTTCTGTGAGATAAGGCAGTCAGAGGACATGGAGGGGAAGGTGATGGTGGTCTGGACAGCCGCTGGTGCCCAGGGGAGTTGTCCCCGCAGCCTCAGCCGCGGTGTCGGCTCCCTCACAGATGACTTCATCCTGGTGATGGAGAGCTCCGCTGGGCCGGCGGAGCTGCGCTGCCGGGCACGGCCTTAATCCTCGGGCTGCCGGCGGGGGGTGTGCGGTGGTATTTTACAGATATCTGGAATGTCAGTGCTGTTTCCCTAAATATCTAGGGGCATGCTCTTTCTTTAGAGATGGTAGCCATTATGCTGCATCTTGAGGGGGAAAAAAATGGCATTCTCCTGTATCGTAAAGGACTGAGGAGAAAATAAGTGAGGATTGTTTTTTTTCTTTTAAGTCTCAAAGCAAAATTCCCTTCCTTTCACTGTCTCCTGGCCCATGGTCTCCTGGCTCTCCTAATAGCATCCTTTTGGAAGCTTACCAGTAACACAATACTCCAGGGTCTTGGCCCATGAGACATGTGTGTTTTGAATAGGAATGATTAGACCTTCTTTTGAGGGAAACAAGCAATAACACTTCCTTCCAAAACACACACACACACACAAAAATGTATATGTCCCTAAAAACACAAACAGCAAAAATGTAATGCAGATATCTCTTTCTCCCACCCCTTCCAGGTCAAGGAATGCTGGAAGATGAAGGAGGTGCAGCTTCTCAAAAACATTTCCATTATTCCCTTCACATTTGCTGATCCACTCTGTCTTGCACGAGAGCCTTTCCCTGCTGCCATATTCCCTTGACACTTCCTTGAAACCACCCAACTGTCCATCCGTTCTTTCCTCTGACATCTGCTTTCTCTCAGCTTGTCAGTGCTCAAGGGCAAAGAGGAGCGCAGGAAAGAGGTAGCCTGGGATGCACATGTTCAAGAGACTGGGAGAGTTTCCAGAAACTGAGAAGCAGAACAGATTGGGGCCTATTCCTGGCTAGAGACCTATTTCCAGACGGCCAAAAACATTCCTCACCCCTAGACTAGTACCCAGGGATTAGATGAAAATAGGAGGGGAAGTGCCTCAACATGGCTCTTGTCCGTGTGTTTGCACATTATGCGCAATGACTCCTCTGTGATTTTGTGGTGATGAGCATGGAAGGGCAAGAAATGAAGGACAACCTACTCAAATGAATAAGTGAGCACCCAGGATGCGAGAGATCCAAAGTTGTACTTGCTCTGGCATGTGTTTGCTGAGGAAAATCACTTAATTGGTCTCTGCCTCAGTTTCTCCTCCACATTTGGGGAGACCCCTTCAGCAGGGTCTGTCTCATGTCTCTGTGCAGTGCCTGACACACTGAAGTCCTGCTCTGACTTGTGACTACTAGACAGACAACTAACACAAAAGAAGAGGAATGTGGTAATACTGCCTCTGAAAACAAGTCATGTTTCCAAACAGGAACAGAGGTAACCAAATAATACACAGCTCCAGTCTCCTAGGTGCATAGGATGCCTGGGCCTCAAGCCTCAACCAGACAGAGGCGGAAATACAACTGAAAACAAATACAACTAAGGGTTGCTCCTGAGACAGTTCTAAATACCCAGTGCAATTGCCTGGGCTCTAAGGAAGTGAAGCTGTTTCAAAATCCAATCTCTTGCACATTATTTATGGGTCTCCTGGTGGGGTTGAAAAGAGCTGATGCTGTCATCTTTCCCTCCTCACCATTCCCTGTAGAAGTGGAAGGGAGCTAATGGGGAACCAGTTTTCTCTTTGGAAGACATAGATAAGTGACTTCTCACTAGAACTTATTTTCTCCATGACGTGTCAGGGCAGTTGAGCCTCAGGATATACAAGGTCAAGAGTCTGGGGTCTGGCATTACTTTCTGCTTCCCTTCTGTACCTCTGTAAGAGAGGGAGAGTGGGTGATAATCTGGAGAGTCAGATTCCTCTGCCCTGCCCCTTGCTGTTGTTGAGAAGGGAAGGCAATATCATGCCAAAGGTCTGGCAGCTCCTCAGCTTTCCAACCTGACCTCCTTTCCAGATCTGTAGGGAACAAAGACCAGACAGCTTCCAAGTGGAGGGGACACCAGCTCCCTAAGAGTTAAAAGGTCTCTATTTAAGAACAAAAAACCTCCCTAAAGAGGGAGGCACTACAGTAAACCATACCAAGTTTCACTTAGGAAATGCTGTAATTAGGGTCATCTGTGTCACCTTAATCCAGCCTCTCCTTGTGTGTTGGCATGGCGATACTCTTTCATCACATGACATCCCATACTATTTTTTCCTAGCAGACCCCAGCCCCGGGAGTGCCACGGACAGCAGTGCCCTCTGAATGGATGTCTACTCAATATTTTCCTTTGTCCTCATCGCTCAGTGTCTGACTTCATGCATTATTTAGTGTGCTCTCTCCAGCCCCCACCCTATGAAGAACTGTATGCTTTCTCCTGGCCTTTTAGGCAGGGCTTTGTCCAGGGATCAATGGCCCCTGGATGGGCAGATATGATTCAGTGGGAGGGGGAGCCAGGCTATTCCCAGCCACCTGTAAGTGATTAGATGGTAGGTGGCTGCTGAGCAGCCAACTAATGACTTGTGTACTGATAATAGGCTGCCAGCAGTTAAGGCAGGAGATGCCTGCAAGGAGGGAAGCTTTTACAAGAGGGTGAGTGATGCTCTGGGGAGCCATTTGAGGTGTGAGCTCCTGGACAGCTATAGGAGGCCTTGCCTGTAAGGGGAGAAGCTCTGTTAGCAGAAGGATGTTGAGGAGGGAAGAGTGCCACCAGGCAGAGGTCCTGAGTGGGGTTTGTTGGCTCAGGCAGTGCCCAGGCTGAGACTAACCCCTTGTCTGAGGGCAGGATGGTGAGTCACAGCTCCTGCTGCCTGAGTGAGGGTCCTGTTGGGAATGCTTCAGGGTGGTGGGTGCCAGTGGGGTTTCAAAGACAGCCTGCAGAAAGCAAGGTTGGTGTGTGGAGGGGGAGGTTGGGTTGGGTTTTATTTTGGGCTGCTTTGGGGGTTTTTTGCTAGTGCAGTAATTAACATAAGTAGTTTGCCCAACTTCTTACTCCAAATCAAGGCAATGACTTTATAAATGCCTCTTCTGCTGTTGGGGAGAGCCTGTACATCAGCTACCTGGCTTTCCTCATCCAGTTGTTGGGTACCTCACTGGATGAGGCACCGTGCAGCCCTGTCCCACGCCGGGAGCACATCCAGCCTGGGTGCTGAGGAGAGGTGGGGGCAGGTCACACAAATCTACTTAAACCACTGTCCTCAGCGTGTCTCTGCAAATGACTAGAGTGAGTGCACGCAGAAAACTTCAGTTTTTATGGTCTCTAACTGTGGTGCACTTAGTGCTGTAGCCTTCAATCTCTTATATCACTATTTCCATTTTCTACATAAGCAGTCCTAAATGGAGTTCCTTACTTCCAGAGCAGCAAGGGAATGGGACAGTTGGACCAAAATAATCCTGCTGGCTACACAGTGCTGCCATGGAGTACCAGCAGGTTTGCAACCCCTCTTCACTCACCTGCTGTCAAACTCGGTCACGTTGTGCAGCTGTTTCCGGTAAGTCTCCAGCAAAACCCACTGGGAGCACTGGGCTGGCAGTGGGTGAGGAGGATGCGGCTTGGAAAAGCGAAATCGGACGGTGCCAGCGTGGGTGAAGCAGATGTAGCAGTCGGGGAGGTAGGAGGCATTGTACACCAGCCAGTCCACACTCAGCATGGCGTAGTCGTGCAGGTGTAAGACAGCACCTGGTGGGAGGACAAGTACGTCCTAATAATGAGTCAAGGCAGCTGAGAAGAAGGAACCGAGATTTGATGTGATAATAGTTTGAGTTTGCCCATCCAGGGGCATCTGGAAAAGCTTCTAGATGGCTGTGAGTGACCTCTCCCAGCAAAGAGTGTGCGGCTGCTCTGCCTCCCCCGGGCTAGGGGATGTGGCCCCCTCCACATCAAACACTGGGCAGGCAGAGCGTGACAAGTCCCTGGGAGCACAGGGAGGGGGGAAATCAATAGGGAGCTCTGCTTCTCCACTGGGATGGAAAATGCTCCGAGTTATTAAAGGTCTTTCAGACAGACTTTGCTGTGAGCTGGCTCAGGCCCCACTGATTTAAAGAGGAACTCACACAGTAGGCAGCAGTTTACAAGGCATGCTAGCTGAAGCAAAGCTCTGTATCTAAGCTGTTTGAATCCCAGCTTCAATTTTTGCAGCCATTCTGTGGCTCTTCTTTCAGCTCTCTGAAACTCTGGCATACACCAAAATCCCAGACCATGATACAGTGGGGAATTGCACTCAGATGCAGAAGTACAATCTACTGCTATGCCTTACCAAAAGCATACTCACTTATATTGTACAGCTGCTGCTGGCCAACACAAAGGGCCTCTGGGACACTCTGTTATTGTGCAGTTTGCTGGCAACTGCCAGCCTTCCTGGCACAGGAGGCATCGTCTGTATGCTCACCTTCCTCATCGTTTCATTGGGCTGAAATATCTCTTTTTGCAGAGACTCCTTAGGCCATTGGTGCTTGAACTAAACTTCACCTTTGTAAAGGGAAGATACTGTGAGAGCTGAAGTCTTAGATATGTGTTTTATTAGTCTAGGGGAGACCTCATAGTTAGAATAGCTTTGATGGCCTTAGGGGTAAAGGGAGAACATGAATAGCAAGAACAAGACAGAAGACTGATACGTATTTGGCATTAGACAAAGTTCAAGACTAAAATTTATAGTGGACTAATCTAATATAGAGTGTAATGTGTATAGCCTCCCAGTGCAGACAGAGGGACTGGCTGTTAAGATGCTCAGGAACTGTGGTTGCTGCTGTCAGCAGAGCCAGTGTGACAGAATGGCCATGCTGCAGCTGTCTAGATCTGACCCTCCTCTCGCTGGCAATGTCACCTTCTTTCCTATGTGAACAGCAGCAGAACTGACAATAGTGCTTGAAACAACAGGAACTCCCAGGGGCTCTTATCAAGATTAGATCCTACTCAAACAGCTACAAAGATGTGATCTTGGCCCTAAAACCTTATGGCTCTTGCAAAGATTCCAAGAACCCATTTTAATATCTCCTGTGTTGAAAAGTGTTAACTGTTTTGGTTCCAACTTGGTATCAATGATACCCCACTGGAGGTGAAGAGGAGGGGTACTTTTAAATTCTTTCTAGTGTTCAATTTGGCAATGAAAGGATAATGACATTTCTGGCATAGTAATCATTTACGGTAATAGATTAGGATGCTGCAAGACAGGGATCTGCATCCCACAGCAGAAACTGGGAGGGAGAAGCGCTGAAGGTTGCTTAAGGCCCCATCCAACCTGGCTTTGAACACTTCCAGGGATGGGGCATTCACAACTCTCTGGGCAAGCTGTTCCAGTGCCTCACTACCCTCTGAGTAAAGACTTTTTTTCTAACATCTAAGTCTCTACTCTTCTAGTTTGACAATGTTCTCCCTTGTCCTGTCACTATCCGCCCATGTAAAAAGTTGCTCCCTCTTCCTTTTACAAGCCTACTTTAAGTGCTGGAAGTACTCAGGCTTTGATTTGTATACAACAAGCAAAGAAACTTGGAGTGCTGGAGGTAGCCCCTTCCTCCTCTAGTGACCCCGACTTTCCAGCAGATGTCTAGGTCTGCTGCAGAACCACCCTCAGAAAGTCTTTTTGGGAGATACAGCACTTTTGGCTAAGCTGTGGAATAAGTCAAGGTTGGTAGCACATCTGTGAAATGTGTATGTGGGAAAAAGAAAGGCCCTGGCTGGAACATGCTGAGCAAATGTGGATGTTATGTCTTGTTGTCTGTGCTTCCTCTGTCCTTTCTTCGCTCTTGAAAGGCTGAAGGATCCATATTGTAAGTTAAACCAAATGCCACAATTCCTGGAAATGTGTATTCATCCAATCCATCCCCCTCTTCCTCTTTCCCCCTGCCCTGTCCCTGAGCTCAGAGGCAGAGCTTTTCCTGGAACCCAGGGAGCTCTCACAAGATTGCCTCACACATCTCATGCTTTGCCCTGGCTCAGCCACAGAAAGCAGAAGGTGAGACCAGGATGGGTAAGATGAGCAATCCTTAGGCCAAGCCTACCTTTAGGCATGCGCTTTAAGATGCTGAACATCACGCTCTGATCAATGAGGCTTTTGGCCCGGAAGAAGTGCATGCTTGGAGGGAACTGTCCCGCGGTTGTGGCCGTTGCAACTTCCTTCTTCTTGAGGTTTACGAGCTTTGCACTGAGCTGCTCTTCCTGCCTACTCAGCACCAAGTTGCCCCCTGTCTGTCGGGCTCTCTCCTCCTGCATTAGGGAGTCCCGGTCCTTCCAGAGCGGGGTGGGAAGGCAGAGAGGAGCCAAACTCAGGAGGAGGTATGCCAGCCTTACACCTTGTCCAGCTGAGGGCTTCATCTTGGAGCTGCACCTAGGAAAGGGGAAAAGATTGAAGCATTAGCAGAGGTGAGAAGTGACATCTGAGCAATGAGCCCTTGGGATATGAAGTTGTTACACAACTTCTGCAGGATGGGCCAACTGGATGCTCAGTACTGAGGGAAGCACCTGGTACCACTGCCCCCTGCATTTAGGACTGTGCATTAGCACACTCTCCATGATGCTGATTGCACACAGCAAGACTGCAGGGAGGGTGAAGAGCAGATATTGAACCTTGGGTCAGACAGGCAGCACATCACACAGACCTGCAACATGGCAAAGGTCTAGCCCTGGAACGGGGGATTGGTGGGGTCAGGACTCTGCTTGCAAGCTGGGATACGGCCCTGTCTGAATAAGGGGTGCTGGTGATGAAGCCCTGGCTGTGCTGATAGTGTCCCAGGAAGGGAAGCAGGGGCCATAGGACTTGAGGTGCTTTTGGCTTTGGCTTGAGCTAATCAGATCCTGATTCCCTACAGTCAAGGAAAGACCTTGTTGTACCCTTTCAGTACAATCCAGCTCTCAGAGGGGTTATTTATGGGCAGAAAACCCCACAGGTTCCTCTGCAGTGATAGAGGTGTGTCTCTTCTTTGCAATCCCAGAAGAAAGAGGATGGAAGTTAGACCATGGGAGTAGTAAGAGATCATAGGAGACAGGCACATGTGAAGTCTGAGAGCTCTGCCCTTCCCCAGAAAAGCACAACTGCAACATAATCCTTCAACACCAGGCTTTAGTGGCCCTCCACGCCAGTCTCTGCAGAGCAAAACAGGCTGGAGAAGGGCTCAACATTTTGAAATGGTCCCCTCTGAATTACACAGAAAGTCCCTGCATGTGCACGTGTTTTCTGCTTCCAGGCTCTCCTCCACCTGTGGGCCCACAAGGATACCTTTGGCCCCAGCAGTGGATCCCACGAGGTGAAGGTGTGCTGGGGGAGCAATCAGCTGGAAAGGGAGCGGGGGGCGGGATGGATGCAGCTTCACATCAGACCTGGCTCTGAACTTTGAAAGAGAAACATCCTAAAAAACGTGTTATCTTATCCCTGGTGAGACTGACTCACTTACTGTTAGCTTGCCTCCTCCTCGTATCCAGAGCTCATCCAGCTGCCGCCCGAGAGAGCAGGGAACAGTTATCTCTCCAGCAAACCGGCGCTGTCCCGGCAAAGATAAGGAGGCAGGATCCGTGCCGGCACTCACAGTTCCTCTTCCTGTGCTGCCGCCCCGGCTCGCTCGGCTTTTATTTATCCCCGGCCGTGCTGCCTCATGAATATATAAAGAGGAGGAGGAGGCAGGGGAGGTGATGAGAAAACGGGACGGGGGCTGAAGGGAGCCCTGCTCAGACTGTCCCAGGAACGCACATAAGTTCGGCTGTCTGATCTAATATAGAGCACAGCGCGTTTAATGCCAACAAAAACACTGCAAATTCTGCTTACTAATGCTTTTTAATCCGAAAAAGCAGCAATTTGTACAATTAGTTTTAAACGATTTTGCCCGGTCTTTGCCAGCTGTGTGGATCAGGCAGATGTCAATCCAGCAGGCTGCCCCTGGACTGCATCGGGCACACAGGACTAAGCTTGAGCCTGGGAAGTAAGTCAGGTGGATGGTGAACAGTCTGATTTAAAAACAAAACAAAACAAAAAAACCCCAACAGATATAGTAATTTCAGCATTTTATTTTGCACAGTTGAATGGATTGAGTTTTAAACTTATTTAAAACAGATGTTACATAAACAGCTTCCAGTGGAGAACAAAGTCTGTTTGGTTTAATTTAATCAAAATTTTAACGATTTTAAATTTTAATAAAAAAAAGAGAAAGCTCTTGTAAGCCAAAAGCTATTGAAAACAACCCACAGCAGTCACGAAGATCGGTTTTGAGGCAGAGAAAGTGGAATCTGGTCAATAATATGTTATATTTTGTTATCTAGCAATACTGAAACAGGCTGAAAGCAGAGTGGACAGCCCATTCTGAATAACCTAGCTGGACACCTGCCAGCTTTTCCTCCTCTCCTGGTCCCTTTACTCTTTGCCGTCATCAAGATGGATCCCAGGATCCATGCAGGGATAAGTCAGGGATCTGCAATACTCTCCAAGCCCTGGCCAGGGCAGCATGGCCAGAGTGCCCCTTTGCCTGCTCCTCAGCAGGACGGGGTATTTCTTGTTTCTGTAGATGATCCTGCTCCCAAAGGGAGATCAAAGGTGTGGAAAAATGACCCAGATATTCTCAGCAGCAACTATTAGTTGATGAAAGCAACCCAAGTATGAGGAGGAAAGTGCATGGAGTGAAAAGGGATGGTTCAGTAAGGACAAGCATTCTGCCTGCAAATAACTCAAGGGAGCAATATAAGTGAAGAAAGGGAATTGCTCTAATTATCTCGTAGTAGTAAAGCCTGGCATTAGTTTCATAAAACCAAATTCAGCCTAAGCAGTTAAAAAACTGTCTCTGCAGTGCACAATCAGGCACTAGAGAAAGGTTCCCAATGCGGAGCATTGAGGGGGGTTAAAATGCTGTGTGAAGGATCTCAAATAGCTTACAGCCAGGCAGGAGTCTTGGAAATGCCTGCCAGAGGGCCTCTGAGATTTGCAGCAACTGGTTCATCCTGTCAAATAGAGTTTGAAAAACAAAACCGAAGTCCAGTGCTAAAACACTTCTTTAATGGGACTTTTTCACACAAGCAGTCGCAGGCATTGCCAGGAGAATGCTGTACAGATGTTGGGAGGATTGTGCTAGGAAATAAGAAGGTGTTTGAGATGCTTTGCTTCCTATTAAAATGTGGTACATGCTCTGAAAATAGAATTCATGGTGAAATAAGACCGCAGCTTCTTTTAGGCAGGATCCGTGTGGACATGGAGGGTGGAAGGAGGGAGAACAGGACAACCCAAGCCAGGGTATGGATGCCACCAGCCAGGAGCCTGTGGGAGGACCTGGGTTCCTTTAGTGCCTACAGGCATTCACAGCCCTGGTTTCAGACATCCCGGGGAATGGAGACATGGTATAGGAAGACTTGCCCTGTCTGAAGGACTAACAAGGAATGTTATAGGGGTCATTTCCACACCGACACATCTCTCGGCTAGTTTGAATTCTTGATGAGAAGTGGGTAGCCCGTCTGGAGGTTGTGCAATAGTCCTGTGTGTCTCTCCAGAAGACTGTGATTGCAGTTCCTGTCCAGTCTTAGCTGGCTCCTGAAATAACCTGGAACTCCCTGGCTCTGGTCCCACTTGCTGTTTAGCTAGGGCTGATAGGGGCACCAATCATGCCCTCTCTTTCATCAAGTAGCCCAGCTATTCTCTGGTTTCCTGGGTGGTTTCTAGCCCACGCTGACCTCCCAGCTGCTGCAGCTGTACTTGGCAGTGTTCCAAAGCCCAGTTTAAAGCTGCCAAGGGTGTGTCAGTGCGAGCTGCAGGCATACCCGTTCTTTATGCCCAGCTGCATGTCAGATGCATGGGAAGCTTTAAATAGCTGGTGGCCAGCACTTAGTGCTCTCAGAGAATTCCCCTTGGTTCGGTTTCAGTTCTATGTGCAGACCAGTTTCTTTCAAACCTTTCAAGCTTCTAGGAGGTGACAGATACAGTCAACTCCAGAATGTTTTCCCACCTCTCCTTCCTGCATCTTCCCTTCTGTGGCCCCAGCCGGGTGTCTGCTCCCACTGTTCAGTCCCTTGCAGCAGCAGTGCAAAGGGAAGCACAAGCAACTGTGGGAGTGCAGGAAGGGGGAAGGACCACAGGGGCAGCAGCAGCATTAGGCTTGTGGATCTGTGTTTTTCACTTCGTCTTTCAGCTCAGCATCTCACACAGTGCTTTACAGCATCCTGCAAAGTCCACCTTTCAGCTGCAGCCTCTGCGTGCAGGGTCACCTTGCTGTGTGCTACTGCAGATCCCAGCCCCAGATTAAAGCCTGGCAGTGTGTGTAGGTGATAGCAAAGGCTACAGTGATAACAAATCCAGCAGAGGCTGGTCCTGAGGCTGTGATGCAATCCTGGCTGTGCTTCCTGTGTGGGCAACCCATCTTGCATAAGCCAGATCCAAACCAAGGGGCATTTCTGAGAGTACAGAGGGGCAGGATGTCTTTTAGCTTCCCTGCCTCTCTGGACATGCTGAAGTCTAAGCTGTGCCCTGGAAATATCACGGAGAGGCCAGGAAGAGAAGGCTGGAGCTGGGAAACATGTTCCCAGCTCACCAGTTATCTATTCTATCCGTGCCAGCTGCCTCATTTGTGACATGGGACCAATTCCCTGCCTAGCTTCAGTGATTATTTGCTGTATCTGCCTGTGAAATAGCCACGGTCCCCTGGACAGTGGCTGGATGGCTGCTATTTGACAGCAAGTCTGCATAAGGGACACAGTTCAGATTGGAGAGGAAAACCATGAGGTAGGACAAGGGGCTGGAATACAGCCATAGGGGAGCAGGTGCACAGGTGAATGAGGGTAAGCTGTGGAGAGTTTCTGCCCCTCTGCTGGGCCTGGGTGAGACCATAGTGCCAGTCCCTGGTTAACGCCTGCAAAATGCTTAGAACACATAAAAGTGCTAAGTGTTATAAATTATTATTAAGAATAGCTTGTCCTGGGATGCTTGGGATGATTAAAAGCTCCCCACTGGACTGCTAAATAACCCCTGCTTTTGTCTAACTGGGCACAGGTTAGTGTTTTTATTTCTTTCCACCCCACTTTGTGCCCAGCCAGGCAAAAATATGGGCCATTGCCCAGCCCAGCAGGGACATCAGTGAGAGCCCTGGAGCAGAGAGGATACTGGTCTGCCCTGGGTCTTGTTGGCAGCATTGCTCCCCAGCCTAAAGGCAAGCTCTGCTCATCCTCAAGGTGCTCCATCCCCCTTTCTGAACCCTCCCTCCCCTTAGCTGCACAACCATGTCTCAGTGCATCTGTCCTTCCACTCCTCAGCTACAGCCATAGCTATCCAATGATTTAAAATGAATAAGACACTTGAGATGCTACAAGAACGGGAGCTGCTGTTGGAGAGAGCCAGGGAAAGAACTAAACACCACGGTTAATGATGAATCACTCCGGGAGTGGAGTCATTGATTTGTAATCATTGCCTGGCTTCCAAATATAATAGCCATGAATTCCTCTGACCAGCAGCCGAGACAAGGTGATTGGACTATTCCCAGCACACCTGCAGAAATTCAAATCTTGCTCACAAGAGCAGTCTCAGAGCTCTGGGAGCCAAACAACTCCAAGCTCCAAGAAGAGGAGTGCAGCAGCCAGCACACACACCAAGCTGTTGCTGCTCTGCTGAGCTTAGCACGCAAATAAATAAGTGAAACTGCACCATTTCCTCCAAAATCCTCCACCCATACCCATCCCAATTCCCTGCTGCTGTTACCACACACTGCAGGTCTGGGAAGAGGAAGTACAAAACAAAGCGAGCTGGTGTGCATTAGCACCCCGTTGCTCTGGGAGCAAACAGCAGGCTCCCAGGGCAGGAGCTGAGAGCCTTGGGTATTTGGGAAAAAGGCTCAGCACTATCCAGGACAGGTCCCAGGCTGCCACCAAGGTTTCTGTGCAAAGGTTCCCAGAGGCTATTAGCGAAGCCTTAAGTTTATTCTTCGTATTCTTGTATTCTCTCCCTCTCCTACCTACAGAGGCAAATATGAGAGCAAACTAGGCAACTGAAATATCCTGAAATATTAGCAAGTGTACTTGACTCACTTTCCCTAGGGGATGACTCTGGGGAAGAAAGAAGCCCAGTGCCACTGTGAGAAGTGTTTTCTTGCTTTTTGCATTACTCATATCAGGTTTGCTGCCTGAGCCATGGTATCTATCCATCAGCAGGCTGTGGTGACTCCCAGGGATCAGTGTGTTGGGTGGGGGTTGGCCCTAGTATAAAAAGTGAGGCAAAATTCCTTTTCCTAAAAGCTCTATTTCATCTAAACATCCTTCCCACTCCCATCCTCCTATTCCACCCACGTGACTTTCCCAACCAGAACCTAAAGCCAACCACATCTCTGCCCTAATCCTCCCACTTCTGCCCCTGGAGTCTATCACACATTGGAACAGAGGATTTGAGTTCATCCATGGTCACTACAGCTGTGAGATTCCCTGTGACCACTGCCAGCACATCCCGTGTCTCCATGTCAACCACCTCGCCATCTCACTGGCTCTCCACTTCTCTGTATCTACATCACTCACGTTGCTCCACCATCACAAAGACTTCAAGCCCAATCAGTAAGAAGCACAAGGCCTTGCAGTGGCAAAGCACCGTGTTTCTCTCTCACTCTCTCTCACCCTGGGCTCTCATAGAAGTCCCACCAGAAGGCACACATGCTACACTGCATCCCAAAGCTATGGCTCTATCTTATGCTCTAAGGCTCCAGAAGTGCTTTGGAAGAGAGGATAGCAAAGGCTGGGGGACCACATTGGCAGCTACACCCAACCTTCAGCTGCTCAGAAATCAGCCCACTCTATATGGTTTCTTTTCCATTTGTGCACAAGGCAAGCAAGTCAGCATTTGGAATGGGTTTATAATACAAAGTTAACAGTAGCGAGGAGCATTTGAGTTAAAATCTGACTGCCCAAAAGTGCCTGTCTTGTAGCCAAGCTTCATCTTGCCTAGGCAAACCTCCAAACTTTATTAAAAGCCTTGAGATGTCAAAACAACGCTTCTACATCATTCCCTTTACAGGTACCTCCATATACCATAGCACAAATGCAGACACTGGCTTCAAGCCAGTCAGCACTACTAGCACTGCCAGCAAAACATCATTCCCCCAAGCACTACCCAGCTCCTTAGGCAGGGCTGGGCTCTGTGGGGATTTATATTGCTATCAGCTGTAGCAACACCTGAGCAACAGAGCTTAAAGCAAGGTGAAGAGTGCTCATCACAACACCAGCCACCTGCCCAGGGTACACAGTCAAGAGCAGAGCCCAGCCACTTGGGATCACTACAGACAAAGCTCAGGGCATTTCTGGCATGCCTAGACTTGTTCATCCTGTTCTTCAGAGGCATTTCAGCCCAGCCCAAAGCACCGTGCCTCTTGTCCCCTGGCACCTCCCAACCTTATCCTGCAGGTACAGTCTTACCTTCAGCTAAATCACTGCATTGCCCAAGAGGTGCTCTTTCACCAAAGCAGTACAGCACTCCCTGCATCACCACAGCAAGCAGTGAAGTCCTCAGTGCACCCACCCTAACCTGGTTGACCAGAAAGGTGTGAAACACACAGTTCAGTGCCACTTTTGCAAGACCTTCAGCAACAAGCTGCAATGTGATCACTGAGCTCACAAAGTGAGGCACGGACAGAGGCTTCAAGGAGGCTTGTAGGGTTTTTGAGACAAACAGCCCATGTCTTTTGGTATTCACAAGAATACAACCAGTTCTCAGCCCACCTTGGGAACAGATAGCTCAAGACCACCTTCTTTCAATCACCAGTGAGCAAGCCTTGGCTCTTGAACCTCACTGAGAATGGCCCTGAGTGTGTTGCTGTGAGGTTCACTGTATAGCCATCAGCTGTGGGTGGAAGCGCAGCCATTGGAACCAGCCCTTCCAGCTCCCATAGGATCCCAATCCACACCTAGCAAAGCCCCATCCAGAGTGACATGTTAGGAGACCTGGGGAGCCATTATCACCATCTGCCTAAAACTCACCTTTCCCATGGCCTTCCTCAGTTTGAGAAACAGCCCTCCCGGCTGAAGCACACAGTAAGATTTTGGCATGTGGCACATACGTGCAGGAATGCTGCTGTCCATCCCTGCTTTGCATTATAATATGTGAGAGCTTCTTCCTTTATGTTCTGCCTGATCGATATGTCCTCTGCAGGCTGTTTCCCGCTGTGGTTTCACTCTGTTGGTGACAGCCAAGGCAAAATCCCAAGACACATCAGGGATACAGGCATCAGTCAGTGCGTCAGCTGGGAGGAAGCAGCGAGGGCTGGCTGCTCCATGGAGGAAGGTGAGTGGAGGGTAACAGAAGGCAGGATGGGGCAGTGACCACATTGCCAGAGGCACAGCCCCACAATACCTAACCAAGAAGAACAGAGCAGGTCTGGTGATGGGAATCAGGTTCAGCCAACAGTCCAGTGATTGCCAGGCAAGTCCATGGTGATGAGACAGATCCAAGGTCACCTCAGGGACTGAAGTCCACAGGCCAAGGTCCATATAAACAGGGTACATGGCACAGGCATGGCTGCAACACAGCTGCAAGGTAGCCCAGCCGGGGAGCAAGAGCCTCAGCTAGTGAACAGCAGGACAGGCCCTCACTGGGCCTTTTTAGCAGAGCTTTTTTGAAGAGCTCTCTTCAACATCAGACACTTGTGTGATTATCTAAGTCAGCCGTGAGCCCAGGGAGCCAAACCCCCAGGGGATGTACTCAGAGTCCTGACACTAGACACCATGCTGTGTGAGCCTTCTGAAGGCAGGTGTAGATGCAAGAGATGACTGTAATCTGCTGCCAATCTCCAGGCTGAAGCACTACAGCTCCTCAAATGCCTATGGTAACAGCAGTGGGCATTTTAAAGTAAAAGGTCCTTACCAGACACCCCTATGCTTTCTGCAGCAGTGAAGTTCTCTACTCTTATAATTGATCTTGGTCACACGGAAAGGAGTGTGGGAAGTTGCTGTTAAAAAGGGAAGTGAATAGGGGAATTATAAACCACGTAAAAATAACCATTTTAGCAAAATTTTGAAACAGTGCTGGGGACAGAAATCAGTGCAGTGCATAGGAGGGAATCCTGCCTCAGGGGTACTATGGGCACGCACAGACTTTCTTAAGCTAAAACAATATTCATGTTTTCATTCTGGAGAGGGAAAACTATCAGCCAAACTGAACTTCTGACTCCAGCAATTCTGGTAGTTTCTGTTTATTCACCTTCTTTTGAGTTGGATCTGAACCAGATCCTGTCTGCATCTCTCTCGGGTGTTTAGAACTCACCTCTGAGTGATGACAGGAAAAATCAACTGCTCAGCATCAACTGCCATCCTCACTGGTCCCTGAGGATTTGTGCTATCCTCACCCTGAGGAGAAGAGGGGGCTAGCATCCACCAGCACCCTTTCTGGACCAAGACTACGGTGTATCAAGGTACAGCAGTGTGCTGGGTTCAAAGATTTTAGTCTAAACTCTGCTTCCAGCTTCTCTCCAGCAAGGCCCTACTTGAAGAAATTAAGCCTGAAAGAAATGAGGCTTTATAAAAGGCACAGAGGGCTCTGCCACAGGCACTGAGACACAGCCAGGCCACAGCTTGTTGGAAGGGAGCACCTCCATTAGCATGAAGAAAGAAGATCCAACAATGGCATTTTAGTTTGTGGGCATCTTAATGGCTCTGAAACTGCTGGCCCACCTCCTCCTGCCACTGTGTCAGCCCAGCATGCCTCACCCATCACCACATGGATGTAAAGCTGTAATTGCCAGCCTGGGGATGGGGGCCCAGGGGAATTCTCTGAGGCAGTCGGGCTCTCCGGCAGCCTGTCAGCTCCCAGATCCACAATGGAAATTAATCACTGAAGCTCAAGGAAGCGCACCTTGAAGAAAAAAACAACAAACACCACTGACTATGCTGAGGAGGCAGGGCATGTCCAGCCTGTTGAAATGACATGGTAATTAAAACTTAATGAAAAGTGTCATTTATCGATGAGTTGTATTAACCTTGTCTGAAACCATTTGGACAAATTAAAACTCCTCTTGGCCTTTTCCTGCCGTGTTAAAAGCAGCAAGTCACGAAACAAATCAATGACGCCAGCTACATTGGCTCTTTGTTTGGGGTAGAAGAAAGCTTTGCTTTTGGAAAGCTTCAGCTGGCATGGCTTCAGCCAGCAAGACACTGCCTCCTGGCCTCTGCCAGGGCCCCTGCTGGCGAGCCCTAAAAGAGATTGCCAGGGTACTTACATGGGCACATAAAGAATGCTCCCAAAAGCGCTGCCGGGGACCAGCTGTCCCACTCCGGGGGACACTTCCAGGTTATTTGCATGAGCAGATATAAATGTATGCCCCAGAGAGCACTGCCAAGGCTCCTGCTGGCACGCAGCAGGGGCTGCTGCCAGGGTACTGGCCCCAGCACAAAGCAGCACGGGCCTTGGGGTGAGGTTGTCACGGACCCCGTGCGTGCACATCTCACCCTTGTGAGGGGGTTTCACAGCACAGCCCCTCGAGGGGTCATGAGGGCCCTGCATCCCAGCTGGATCACTCTCTGCTGCCTCTGTGCCGGCCACAGACCTGTAAAGCAGAAACACTGCCAGACCTTGAGCTCTTTCCTTCCCTCGCCCAGCTGCGTCCGTCTCTCTGCAGCCCCACGACAGCTGAGCAGCTCAGCACTGTGCCACCTGCTCCCCACCTCCAACATATCCCCCTCCAAATCCCATGCACAGCCACCCTAGGGACAGTCAGTGCTTTGCCTCTTTGGCTGCACCCTCCTTCCCCAGGGCTCCAGAGCCTATGGAGGCCATGGGCCGGTCAAGCAGCATGCAGTGGCCACGAAACAAGTGGACACACTGGGAGGAATTTAAACATACCAGCTTAGGCAGGGAGAACAAGCCAGCCCTTGCGTGCCTCCTCCCCACACAGCCAGCTAAGGTGAGCAGCAATGGGCAGGAGAAAGGGGTGTTTCAGTCTTCCAGCCACTGTTGGGGATTCTCACACTTAGGCACAATCTGCCCACTATGGTTTCTGCTAAGAGCTACCCCTAAACACACGCTCACATGTGCTGTCAGGTTTGCTTAGGCTGTGACCCTCATGCTTCCCCCTGCAGTCCTGGCCATGGTCAGGGGGCTGCTCTTCTCCCCCTTCACTCATCTGCTGTACTCGGCAGCCGCTGCCTTGCCACAGGCCATCGCATGTGTGAACAGCTCTGAGTGTGTGGACATGGTGGTTGAGCTCCAGTTGTTCTCATACAATCAAGCAGACACACCAGGCTGGTCCCTTTCTGGGTGATGTAAAATCCTTGGTCTCCGTTACAGCAGCCAGTGACACAGGGAATTGTGTCCCTGGGCCAGCAGCCCTTAAGCAACTGCAGTTGGTACATGCACATTGCTGGCAACATGCAGGGATGTTTAAACAGGTAAAACATTTTTAGAGAGAAAACGTTTAAGAACTTTCCCTTTGGAAATGCAAATGCTGCAGCACAGCCAGTGAAATCAACCTCTGGCAGAAATAAATCTAATAAGAAGAAAGTTTGCTTGTTTGCTTCCCACCTGAGCAGGTAGTTCAGCTGTGGAACTCACTCCTTCCTCCAAGACCTTTGTATAAGGCAAAGGATTTTTTGCACTTTTTCATAAGTGCCTAACACAAGCCCTTCCTGAGGTGAGGACTCTGTGGACCTCTCCCTTGAGCCATCCCTTTAACCTTGCATTTCCCTCGTGACTGGTCAGCACTACAGTGGGCATATTCAGTGCTTGGTAGTTGAAGTAGAACTAGGAAAACTGGTTTTGTGTTTGATCAAACTAACTCTTCCTCTCTTCTAACTGCTTGTTTTTGCCAGGGATCAGCATCATGGGCAGGGAACACAAAAACCTCCAGTAGGTAGGAGCAGGAGAACATCCCTACTGATGAAACATTTCCCAAACTCCACAGGCAAAGGCTGAATTTAGCTTTGGTAAGCAGGACTTACATCACTAGACGTTTTTGTTACTTTTATTATAGCTTTTAAAATTGCCTGTAAAAATGTTTGAGACCAGCTGAACTCTTTTCTGAATCCTGCTAAGACCCCTGGGCTCCATCACATGTGGCAGAAGGAAGTTCCACAGGTAAGATGTGAAGAGTGTGAAAAGATACTGCCTTCAGTTGGCCTGATATGATTTCTAATGTAATAGAATATCTCTGGTTTTCACACAGTGAAACAGAGAGATGAGTTCCCCGTGAATCTTTTTGAGCTGCTCATTCTTTTATGGAGTTTTATCAAGCTGCAAACACAAAGAAGGGAAAAAAAGACTTTGACTCAACCCTGGCTGGGGAGGAAAATGCCTTTGTTTTTCCTGTGGGGTTCTGCTTCCCATTTGCATTCAGAATTACAAGTACTCTGTCTAGTGTCAAAAGCAAGTTCTTGATGCTCTTCCTTTTCCTGCACCTTGGGCTTATCCAGTCTTCTTGCAATAGCAATGCCATTGTAGGAGACTATTAATATAAAGTGTTAGCAAGCAAAATCTGCCATGTTGATAAGGGTATATGAAGAGGAAAACCCCACTAAAGCCTCAGGCCTCCTGTTTAGTTTTCAGGGTTGCAAAACATTAAAAAAAAAAATCCCTTTTTATTAAATTGAGCAAACATGGTCCAGAGGAACTGAGAGACAGATGTGGAACCCCATGATGCCAGGGCTACAGACTCGCTTTTCAAGCTAAAACAATACTTTAAAATGAACAATTCATTACTCAGATCTGTGAAAACCAAATGAAGCTCAGCCTTTCCTAACCTTGACATTTTCCAGACTGCTGGCCAAATCCACGGGTAGGACACTTCATGTAAAATAGAGGAAATAAGGCAAGAACTGTTTATTCTGCTGGAAGTCATGCTTTAAAACATAATAGGATAAAAGCTTTATTTTATTTGAAGTGCTGGAGAGACCAAAGGAAACAAATTCACATCTTCATTTTATACTGAGCTTACTCTGTAGAAAGGCATTGTCTTTAAAGGTAGTTGAACTTCCTGCTTTCTCCCATATTTGAGGTGGTTTTTTTTTTAAACAGTAGTTTCAAGGAATTTTTTTTCACTTATTCACTTACTATTTCATAAATGTTAAAGCCTTTCATTTGTCTCTGAAATCCTTTGACAAAGTTGCCTGGCTGTGAAGAGAATCAGAGTTTGCTTCTAAAAAAAGGTGTGCAGTTGTTTTGTCTGTGTCACTGCAGAAAATGAGCCAAAGAATTGAACTGTGGCCTCAGTCAGTGCTGTGTGTTCTCTTGAGTGCAAGGCTTCTCCATTAAATATCTTGTTTTATTCTTCTAACATGGTTTGTTAGCTTTCTAAAAGGAGACCTCAGGATGTCACTCGACCTTGCAGAAGGAAGGAAACCTGAAATGCAGGCTGTTCTCCCATTCTGAACTTACAGCAAACCTTTGCAGAGGGTTCAGTATTGTTGCTAAATAAATGTAGAACCACTGTACCATGCATGGAAAATAGGGAAAGCATAGCTATGTGTGAGTGTTCCTGGCTTTATGAAAAAAAATTTGCTTAATGACACCTTGCATGTAAGTAGAACAAAACAGCAACCTACATAATTTATGTAATTTTAATTCAAAGGAGTATAAAATCCCATTCTTCCCTCCCCACCTTTCTTAGAATGTGGGGACAAAATGCTATGTGCCCTTTTTGGTATGGGATGGGAGTTTGAGATGGTGGATTCAGCTTTGTTGGTGTGCAAACAAATCAGGTGTGGTTAGCAGACAATACTACTTCATTTTTACAGATATTTGAAAGAGTTTGTCACTTACAGGTCTAAATATCATGATTCCTATAATCTGTTGATAAAAAATGAATTCGTGCTCAGTAAAAAATTTAAAAGTCAAAGCAGCTAATGCCAGTATTAAACTTCTTGGTTTTCCGGTAGACTTTGGTGTCTAAAAATAGTGTGCTGGATAAAGAATAGAAGATGCAGCAGCCAAACATTTTTGTTTTGATCTGCTGCACTGCTTGATAAATCTACAGTTTTGAGTCATAGAGTAAGGGAAGAAGGGGAGACCTTCAGGAAAGCAGAACATCCCGGTCTCTGGGGGTCAGGGTTGGTCCCTGCCTGTGATGCAGGAGGTTTCAGGATGGACAAAAGACAGAAGCAGCCAGGGCATCAGGAAAGACTGAGTGATGCAGTGGGAGCTGCAGTTTTGGCTGTGCCATGTTCCTTATGGCAGATGGTTGCTAAGAACTGTGGGGGTGCTCGTGCTGACTGGGGTCTCCTGGGATGGAATGTAGAGGATCCTGGTGTCCTACTCTGTCCCCAGCAGCCTCCCTGATGCCTCACAGGATGGAAAAGGGTTCAGGGGGCTAGGGTGCCCCCTGCCCCTCCAGGTGGCTGTTGGGTGCTTGGCAATGGGTGGTTGGCAATGCCTTGGGCTGAAAGTTTTGGTCAGTTCCCAGAGCAGGGCTATTGCTGGCAGTGAGACTTGCTGAAATGAGTCCCACACCCTGAGGGCTGTGCAAGATGATTAGAGGGACAGAACATCTCTCCTATGAGGAATTGGGATTATTCAGCCTAGAGAAGAGAAGGTCTCTGGGGAGACCTCATCACAGCCTTTTAGTACTTAAAGGGGACTTATAAGAAAGATGGGACGTATTTTTTAGTAGGGCCAGTTGTGATAGGGCAAGTGATGCTCGTTTTAAACTAAGAGAGGCTAGATTTGGACTAGATACAAGGAAAAAATCTTTTATGATGAGGGTGATGTAACACTGGAATAGGATGCACACAGAAGATTGCTGTGGATGCCCCATCCCTGGAAACATTTAAGGTCAGGTTGGACAGGGCTCTGGGCAGTCTGATGCAGTTGAAGACATA